TGGGGAGGGGGGGGGACTGACGGCCCCCGCCCGCCGCGGCTCTGCCGGCCCGCTGCCGGCGGGGCTGCCGAGAGCGGGGGAGGGGAGAGCAGAGGGGGCGCTCGCTCCCGCCTGGCGGCCAGCAGAGCGCGCCCCCCTCCGGGCTGGGGTGCGCGCAGGCGCTCTCCCGCCGCGGCCGAGGGCGCGCGTGCTCCGGGCCGGGCAAGGACAAAGCGGCGGCGCGCGCCGGGGGGAGCGGACAGCCCTCGACGGCGGCGCGGCGCGGCGTAGCGCGGCACGGCACGGCACGGCGCGGCACGGCACGGCACGATTCTGCCCGGCTTGATTCTGCCCGGCTCCTGCCCACCTCCTGACTGCGGGCACAGCCGCTGTCCTCAGCAGTCGGGTGCTCTCCGTCTGCTGTCCCGGCTGCACCTCGCCGCCCGTGGGGGCTGCCGGCGGTGGTTGGGCCCTTCCAACCGCACCGCCACAGTCGCCTCGCGCCCCGCGCACGCCTCGCGCCCCGTCCAGATGAAAATCAGAATTAGGAGTCGCTCCGTAAGAATCTAGGTGCCGAGTTCTGACTTTCACAGAGGAAAGAGGGTAGTCTGTATCAGTGGCAATAGGTGCCACGGGAAGGCGATAGGAAGGAGGTCGAATTTCTTTCCCGTCCTGTCACAGCCGCGCCTGAGGAGCTGCTCGCACCGCCTGCTCAGTGTGCGCTGCAGTAAGAGGCGTCCACAAATTGGAGCAGTGTGAATATTCCAAAGTGATCCTGCAGCAATAAAACCCACCCGTAAAAGCAGCGTAACTGTTTGCGATAAGTACCTGTGCTGCGGATAAGTGGTGGCAGCAGGCGGGAAAGGAGTTACGCTTGTTGAGCTCTGCTTTAGAAACGGACACACAGCCGCTGTCCAGCAGCCAGGCTTCACCTCAGCACCGTGCTCCTCGAGGGCTTTCCTCACCGACAGCCCGAAGGCTTCAAGCCCCCGTTTGCTTAAGTTTAGCAGGACGGAGAGGCCACAGGGTGCATACTGCACTCTGTAGGAGCTGAGCGGTGTGTCAGCGAGTTCGGTTTTCTCGGGAGCTGGGGTTAGCTCAGCTGAACGGTAACGCTGAAGGTCGGGTGGATGAGCTGAGTGATGCGGTAGGGAGGAATACCGGAGGTTTGTTTGTCAAAGTGGGCTGCAGAGAATTACCAGATCATCACTACAGGCGATTTGCCCCTGAGGTGTAGAAAATTCTTAGCATAAACAGTATCAGGCATGATGAGCAATTTGGGCATAATTAGTATAAGGAAGCGTGGCAATATCAAAAATCTATCAGTCAGCAGTAAAAGCATTTCTTTTCCCTATTGATGCTCAAAATGGGGGTTGCTGGTACTTTGAGGGTCAGGACTAAGTGTTCAACTTTTATTTTGTTTCAGATGAAAAGCTGCATGGATGTCCAAAAAATGGTTAGCAGAGCATGCATCCACAGTATGAATGTAAGTAGATTGGTCAAGGGCTGCTCACCACATCAATTGCTATGTGTTGTGGCTTCTGTGGCTTTTAGGAGACAAAATGAAAATAAAGCCCATTTAACAGAGGATAATTGAAAGCCAGTCCGGATTTCTTACTTTTTTCTTTTTTCTTTTTTTTTTTTCTTTTTTTTTCCTCCAGCCTTTTGTACCTTATTAAAACAGATCTACTACAGGAACTTGTGTTTATCTGAATGAATATTCATTTGTTTGACATCAAGGCTCAAAGGATGACACTTTCTTCTTACAGGGCTGTATTTTCCTAGGGTATGTTTGTTATCTTGTCAACTGCAGAAAAAGTAATGCACTGAGAGATGTAGTGCAGTTGGAAGCAGAGAAAGTGCTGATTACAGGAACAAAGCTCCATATCACGATCTCTGTGACTTTTTGTATCCCTTGTGATTTGATGTTAGTGTAATTTTAACTGATACACCTATCAGTTAAAGGAAACTGTTTTTGGTTTTGTTTTGTTTTGTTTTTTTTTCTGCTATTTTATTGAGTACTTAAACTGTGAAAGTTCAAATAGTAGGGTGAAGTGCAGAACCTTCCTGAGCTTTCCTAACCTTTCCTACATTCAGACTTGTTTGGATGGTCCTGGGCATGGGAAATGGGTGAGGACTGCATTTTTTCTACTTTTTTCTCCCCACTGAGATGCCCTTTATTTATATATATATATATATATATATATATATTTTTCCCCCAACACAAGTATTGGTGGTTTCTTAAGAGGCCCTGTATCTCTTAGATACGTCTTGATCCCCCTATTCTATCAGAGCACAGGTGTGAAGCTGCCGTTGGCATGCAGAGTTGTAACAGCTCAAATGCACAGGCATTTGAGAATATCTTACTGGATTTAGGAAGAATTCACAATTCAATCTTCTCCGTCTGATGCAAAATGCTGTGATAGCAAACAACTCAATGCCTGGCACCAGAACTAGGGTGAAGGCATTTTCTGCTTCTCACAAGTAAACTATGAGGGATGAGAAAATCATTGCTTGATCTCCTTGCCCCTACCATTTTAAAGGTGTACAGATGGTAAAATAAAGCCAGTGTACATTTTTTGTGATTAAGAGCAGATCAATTGAAAATACTACTTAATGTTTGCAGTTATATACTCCATCTTCTTTATCATGAAATCATTGCTTCCTGACAGTAAATATATCTCCAACTAAGCAATGCATCTTTCTGTCCTGTGTGTGTTCCCATACTGGGCTGTGTTACAGAATCACAGAATCAGAATCACAGAATCACCCGGGTTGGAAGGGACCTCAAGGATCATGTAGTTCCAACCCCCCTGCCTAGCAGGGCCACCAAACAGCCACATTTAGATCAGGTTGCCCAGGACCCCGTCCAACCTGGCCTTAAACACGTCCAAGGACGGGGCATCCACAACCTCCCTGGGCAGCCCGTTCCAGGGCCTAACCACTCTCCTAGTAAAGAACTTCCCCCTAACATCCAACCTAAATCTTCCCTCCTTCAACTTAAAACCATTTCCCCTAGTCCTGCTGTTATCAGCCCTTTTGAAGAGTTTACTCCCCTCCTGGGTGTAGGTTCCCTTCAGGTATTGATAGGCTGCAATGAGGTTGCCCCGCAGCCTTCTCTTCTCCAGGCTGAACAAGCCCAACTCCCTCAGCCTGTCCTCATAGGGGAGGTGCTCCAGCCCCCTGATCATCTTAGTTGCCCTCCTCTGGACCCTTTCCAAAATCTCAATGTCTTTCTTGTACTGAGGGCTCCACACCTGGACACAGTACTCCAGATGGGGCCTCACAAGAGCCGAGTAGAGAGGGACAATCACCTCCCTGTCCCTGCTGGCCACCCCTCTCCTGATGGAGCCCAGGATCCCATTTGCCTTTCGAGCTGCCAGAGCGCACTGCTGGCTCATATTCAGTCTCTCGTCCATCAGGACCCCCAGGTCCTTCTCTGCCGAGCTGCTCTCAAGGACCGCTCCTCCCAGCCTGTACAGGTGCCTGGGGTTCTTCCGGCCCAAATGCAAAACCTTGCACTTTGCTGTGTTGAACCTCATCAGGTTCACCCGAGCCCAGCCCTCCAGCCTGTCGAGGTCCCTCTGAATGGCATCCCTTCCTTCCACCGTATCAACCGCACCACTCAGCTTGATGTCGTCAGCAAACTT